GCCTCGGTTTTAATAATAAAGAGTAAAGGGAGGGGGGTGGTTTTGAATCCTGAGACCTGAGGAGGAATTCCAGAGAAGAAGCACCAGGAGGAGAGAGACTGGTGCTGCCTACTGTTGCTGCCAACTGCTGTTGTGGACTTTGGAGGCATCTGGACTGTGGCCATCGCTGCTGGCATAGGTGCTGGGACATTGTGGGGGGGAGTTGCCCTGGGGGATGAGCCATTGCCATAACATACTGGCCGTCATTGTTATTATTACCATCTGGAGCCGGGGTTTACCCCCCCCCCCATTTTGTCGGACTCTGAACGATTGCTCAGGGGCTTGTTACTCCTGCTGCTAAAGCAGCCCTGAGCTGTTATATACATCTTCGGGGCATCAACCATTGTGACCGGTTAAGTTCGTGCCTGAGAGTCCTGCTTCAACAAGAAGAGCCTGCCACCCATCAATGCTGCATGAGTTCCGGTTGTAAGACATCTCACCGATCTCTAAAGAACATTACCGCAAGGCTGGACAAAGGGGGGTTGTGGCTGGGAGGGCCTGGGCATTGGCGGCCTCTAAAGAGGTAGCGCTACACGTGGGGGCTCGTCCTGGATCTCCTGCCTGGCCCCTCCCCTTAGTAAGGAAGTGTTAGCCTTGTTTAGGGATATGAGTCAGGAGAGCAATATGGACTCTACTGCGGCCACCAGGTGGTGTGAGGAGCAGAATAGTGAAGTGAGTACAAGTGTAGTAATTAAGGTCCCTGGTGATGTTTGGTCAGAGGAGCGAGTTTTACAGACCTTAAGGGGCAAGCTTCCAGACCTTCTCTTCTCAACTCCAACAACCACCCCGGCCTTCTCCTTTCCTTTCCTTTTCTATCCTTCCTCCTTCCACTCACGCCAGCCACACCCAAAGCCAACTGCAGCTGTCCCAATCTTTTCCTTCCCAGTCAAGCTCCTGCGAGCACTCTCAGGCAGTCCCCGCTACAATTGCATAGTTGATTTTTCCCCTGAACACTTCCTTGAAGACTTGAAGGACTGGCTGACTCACTAAATGTTTTAACTTCATTTTTTTTTGTAAAACATTTTAAAAATATTTCAGTTCTGTTACATCTCCTTGGCTGAACATGCCTATCCGCCTCTGCTCCAAACAGCTGGATATATTTGAAAGAATCCTTCACTCCAGTCTATTATGCCTGAAACATTAACAAGAGCATAAGTGAACTCATTCTAGTTTTTAAACTGCTGAATGCTAATTTTTGCAAAGATAAGGTCACCATGACCAGCAATATTGCTTTGTCAAATAAAAGCCACATTTCCTTTCTTGGGCATTGAAAGGGCATTGAAAATTGATCATTCTGGAAGCAGAAAAAAACTGAGAGATATAGTACAAAAAATCACCGTTTTTAAGGGCTATAACCAATGAATGATTTATTGCTCAGCTGGAGATTGACTGACTATAAAAATTGAATCTGTAATACTTACCCCACGTCCATGACATTTTGTTGCACATTCATGAACACCAAATACACTGGTGTTTTGACAGCGGCGATTAAGACAGATCTGTAAGACATAAGAGGATGGAAAAAAATAATTTATGGTATAAAGACCAAACAACTGGATTTTTTTCCCCTGTATTGTATTTCTAATTCAAGAGAGAATAGCCAATCTCTTCTGGTTATGATTTTAAACTTAAAGAGTAGATTTTGATTTAGAGAGGCATGAAGAAATGTTGATGCCATCTCCTTAAATTCATCAACCAATATTGCACAATTAAATAACATAGCAAGATGCTAAGACCTAAAGAATTCTGAATGAAATAACTTGGAATATGGAACAAAGCTGCAGGTATAGAATATGTAGGAAGTATGTTGACTGCCTTATTTACAGAATATTGTGCATACTTCAATCTAATATTTTTTCTTTCAAAAATCTGTTTCTTTCCTGATTGCTATATGTTATGTCTTTAGGACAACTGTGCCACATTGAGTATGGTGTAATTCGAAGTTAAGAATATAAGGATGTAAAAAGAGTCCTGTTATATCAGATCAAGGGACCCTCAGTCCAGCATTTTGGGTGTCCCAATGGCCACATAGATCCATGAGGAATTCTTAACTAAAGCTTATTGGAAATTAGATGTGCATATTTTGGGATGGTGTGGGTGGGCCACCAAGCTGCTTTTTTTTAAAGTGTGAAACCTATCAGAGATAATTTATTTATCTAGAATTACATTGTGTCTATTTCCAAGTTCAGCAAATATTAGAAAGATACTGTTAATTTTCATCACTTCCTTCTCTGAAGATAATGGAAACTTTGAAATCCTATATGTGAACATCAGTGCTGTGTACTGTATGTGTGTGTGTGTGTGTGTGTGTATTCAAGTCAGTTTTTGACTTCTGCATAGTTTTTGGCAACTGCATAGACTAGTGTCTGCAATTTTCTTGGCAAGATTTTTCAAAAGTGGTTTGCCATTGCCCCCTTTCTAGGCTGAGAGAAAGTCACCCAGCTAGAACTCACAGTCTCTTGGTTTCTAGCCTGGTGCTTTAACCACTAGGCAAAACTGACTCAATGAATGTCACTGTTTGGGAAACCTAAGGTAGCATTCCTCTACATCAGGGGTACTCAACCTTGGCTCTTTTATGACTCGTGGACTTCAACTCCCAGAATTCCTGAGCCAGCTTAGCTGGCTCAGGAATTCTGGGAGTTGAAGTCCACGAGTCATAAAAGAGCCATGGTTGACTACCCCACTCTACATGATGGAGGAGTTAGTGTACCCTTTCTCCTCCAAGAAACAGACAACGTTACTATTATATCCAACAATGGATGGAAACTAATCAAGGAGAGAAGCAACTTGGAATTAAGGAGAAACTTCCTAACAGTGGGAAAAATTAACCAGTGGAACAGCTTGCCTTCAGAAGTTGTAGGTGCTCCATCACTGGAGGTTTTTAAGAAGAGACTGGACAGTCACCTATCTGAAAAGGTATAGGCTCTCCTGCTTGAACAGGGGGTTGGACTAGAAGACTGTGAGAGGGATCTTGGAGTCCTAGTGGACAATCACTTAGATATGAGCCAGCAGTGTGCTGCAGCTGCCAAAAAAGCCAATACAGTGCTAGGCTGCATTAACAGAGGGATAGAATCAAGATCATGTGAAGTGTTAATACCACATTACAATGCCTTGGTAAGGCCACACTTGGAATACTCATCCAGTTTTGTCACCACAATGTAAAAAAGATGTTGAAACTCTAGAAAGAGTACAGAGAAGAGCAACAAAGATGATTAGGGGACTGGAGGCTAAAACATATAAGGAACGGGTGCTGGAATTGGATATGTCTAGTTTAATGAGGGGGGGACATGATAGCAGTGTTCCAGTATCTCAGGGGCTGCCACATAGAAGAGGGAGTCAAGCTATTCTACAATGCACCTGAAGGCAGGACAAGAAGCAATGGATGGAAACTAACCAAAGAGAGAAGCAACCTAAAATTAAGGAGAAATTTCCTGAGAGAGCAATTAACCTGCCTCCCAAAGTTGTGAATGCTCCAACACTGGAAATTTTTAAGAAAACACTGGACAACCATTTGTCTGAAATGGTATAGGATTTCCTGCCTGAGCAGGGGGTTGGACTAGATGACCTCCAAGATCCCTTCCAACATCATCATTATTATTATTATTATTATTATTATTATTATTATTATTATTATTATTATTATTATTATTATTATTATTATTATTATTACCACCTCCAAGATCCCTTCCAGCTCTATTCTGATCTATGGCACTGTCCAAACTTGCATGGTCCAATTTGGGGGGATAGGTTGAATGTGGCTGGGGTTGTGTAAGAGAGAAAAAAGAGAATAGAAATAAGATAGAGAGCAAAGGTTCATCTCACGAATTACCATCTGCATGATAGAAGTGAAAAATCTGCTCTTTATCTATGTGAAGAGAAGTTAATTGTTTGAATTTAAATTTTAGAAGTCAGCAGCTTCTTACTGATGCAAACACCATCTTATCCTAGAACACACAATTATGTAATATCATGCCAAATATATTTGTCAAAGCCTTTCTCTTCAACAATAACATCTATATTAAGAGGCATATTTTTTTTTTAAAAAGGTAATGTCAAAAGCGATTTGTGATAAGATCAGCAGTGGAGTGGAAAGCAACAGTTGAAAGAAACTCCCAAAGATTTAAAAATTCAAAATGGGCAATGGCAGCTTTTTCTATTTTTTCAAGAGAGTTATTTCTGAAGAAAAGCCCATAACAGCTAAAATATTTCAAATGCTGCCAGAGGTTAATTTCCATCCAACTATATATTAAGTCTATCCCACATTCCCGCCCCCAAATTAAACTGCTTTCCTTTGTAAATTAGATTAGTATGGGCTCAAACTTTAAACAGAATTGTCATTTTATTGCAGGGTTAAATTAGCATTTGCCTGAAGAAGATACATTTATCTTTTATTTATAGGGAAATGAATAACAGGGAGTGGCATGTAATCGAAGGTTCATTGTTCATGCAATCATCATAGAGAGTTAACTTCACTATTTCACTGGAGCTGAATCACAGGGACAAAGAAAGATTGACATCCCCATAAAAGCAGACTCACAATGCAAACTAAAATGACCCACTTACAGAGTGCCTGATATATCATCAGAGTAGAGAAAAGATTATACGGTCCAGGAATGGATATTAGATGCCAGGTCAACAATCAGATCTACCATAATATCCGCTCTCCTTTAATTTGGGGACTTATTTCAGCAGGGCTAAAAGTCAGGCACAATTTTTATGAGCAGGCAGGGGACAAAATGAAGCAGAACAGAATACTGATGCTTAATCAGGGTAGATTTTCCCTCTAAGGAAAGGGGAAATTAGGAAAGAAATGAAAGGGAACCGGCTTCACAACCAATATAATATAGCACTGAAGCCTCACAACAAACAAACAAACCATTCAGTATCCCATGGCATACCAAATTGTTTGTTTTTATTTACTTATTGCATTTATAACTCAGCAGAAAAAAACTCTCAGGGGGTCTATACTGGAGCCTCTCCTAATTTTAATATCACAAAACAGCCCTATAAACAAGGCTGAGCTAGAGGAGAGTGACAGGCCAATGGCTGGATGACATGAACCAGTTCTTTATCTAGTCCTTATTGACCACACTACAGTAAAGTGGCTGCTATTAAAATAAGAAAAAAGATTTATTAAAAGCAGGCAGTTGTATGGTTTAATTCAATTGTTTTAAATAACTCTGGAGCTCATTGTTGGGGAAGGAGAGCAAGCCACTCTGCCCCTCAGCATCCTTGCATGGTGCCATCCTGGATATAGGAGCTATTTTCAGAGCAGACCCAATTCATTGAAAACACAAACTAATATAAAGAAGAAAAAAGAAAAAGGTTGAAAGAAAAAGAAAAAAAGTTTACATTGTGCTATGATCTCAAAGATAATTTTTATAAAAGGATGTATTACTGATACAGGATGCCAGATAAATTATCTAGAATGTATAAAGGCATTTCAAATGTACATTGAAAATGTGAACATCATGAAGGGCCATTTATCATGCTGGGTGGATGAATAAAAAACCCAAATATTTTGGTTTCAAATACATACTTGGATATAGAGGATTTTAAAGATCAATATTCAGCTGAAGCTAGACATTTTCTTTTAAGGATTAATATGAGATACTGCACGTGCCCTTTTCCTTTCCCTGCTCTCCTTGTAGGATACTGATAAAGGTATTTTATGGCTACTCCTGTGTGCAACTAAATTGGAACCTCTACCAAAAAGTAGATCAGATTGCATTTTTCTAGATAAATATATAGTCTTAAAACCTCTAGTTTTCCTTGCTTCTCCCTCATATTCTTGATATATGGATAAAGGCCATGAAAGCCTCAGTTCATCAAACTTGACTTGTCTCTTTCTTTAATTATATGTTCTTTACTGAGTGCTTCCACATCCTGTTACCCCTCCCTGTCTCAGTCCCTGGGGAAGTAGTATTGTTAAGTTCTCATCCCCTTTCATGATAGTATTTACTCAATAATGCTCTGAATCAAGCTCATCTCTTGCCAGAAATCCCTCATTTTTAAAATAAAGGACTTCTGGGAAGAGATGAGCTTGATTCAGAGCATTATTGACTAAATACTATCAGGGAGGAGATGAGAATTCAACAATACTACTTCAATTGTTAGAGAATCCAAACTATTTCTATTAGCGCCATCTATGTAGCCAGTTTTCATTTCTTTATTTTTTTATATGCAAGCCACGCTCTTTAATAGAAGAAATGGATGCCTGGCCCATAGCTCTTTTGTTCGGTATTTTATAACCCGATTTGGTATGTTCAAAGATGTGTCTGCTGTGTCATTTATTTCCATGAGTACCAATAAAAAGGAATAATTATCAGTGAGCTAAGGAGTCTTGGGAACCTTCCCGTTCATCCAGCCATCAAGGAGACTCTTCTTAGAATATTATCAGGCTTACGGATCATTGCTTCAGTCTCTCTGAGTAGGGAATCTCACTTCCACACATGACATCCTCATCTTCAGGGCAGAGGCTAACATTTTTTCCTTTGTA